CTGAGATGAAAGACACAGTGAAACCCTATCACTTCCAGAGAAATAAAGAATAAAAGCATTATCTCAGAGTTACCATAGCCATTTTCACTAATGCTAAAATCAACAACACACAACCCCATGGAAATGACAGACTGGTTAAAAACACCCATATACAATCACTTTGTATTTTAACAGTCTGATGYTATCACAGCTATACTAGCACTGCAATATTAGAATTCTACTTTACACAGGATAAACAAATGAAGATGTCAGAATTTCAGACAYAACTAGTCTCTCATTGCATGTTCAGTACTTGCATCACAGGTTTTATTTCGAATAAATATAGATCTATTAAGTAAAAGCAGTCCACAACCTGACACTGAAGTCATAATGAGATACTAGACAGTTTCACAGGGAGAACACACATTCCTGAGCAGACAAGGAGGCAGGAATAAATTATGTGGAATTGGGACAAAAACCAGCAAATGATACCACAGGATGAAACACATATTAACCAACACTTACTATTTTACTCAWCTGTCACAGCAGTTTCCTTACACGCAAGAAAGAATCAATACAAATGTACTTTGCAATCTCTAATGATGCCTCTCATCATATTATTCCATTTCTACTTGCCTCTTATTTGCTACCTTTAATGTGTCCAGTGTCATATACGACTCCTACTTCTGCTATGACTGAAAGTCTTTTACCACGCACCCCCAAACTACAGCAGCGTCCAGGAAAGAGACAGGATGAAATTTTCCCCCCTCAAGTAACTTCAGTATCTTCAGTCCTCAGTCTTGCTTTCTCTTGTCCTGTGGACAGCAAAGTTCCAGTAAGAAGGTAAGGAATAAACTGCCCTTCTTTTTTGAAAGAAAAAGGGCAAGCAACATTTGATWGCTGGAATCTAATAAATGTTCTAATTCAGACAAATCTAGAGCAAATTACAGAATCCCATGCTAAAAATTGTGTTTTCACCTCCTCAAAAGATAAGAACAGCAAGGGAACCTGCATTCCGTGTTCACAAAGAAAACTGTTTCACAATCTCTAAACTTGTAAAGTTCTCTGGTTTCTGCACAGCCAATGCTTCTCGAGCACTTTCTTGGTTACACAGTAAGGAAGTACTCTAGAAGCATTTTAGCAAAAGTATACTGTGAACTATTTCAAATATACAAATGTATTTCAAACAGATTTTAGTCCTCAGTGGAAAGCCAAGGGAGACCAGAAGGGATAGTTTTGTTTTCATAGCGGGCCATTCCTTACCGCTGACAGGAGTGGGATAGGAGTGCAGATAAAGTTTTAAATGAAGATCACTAACAGCTTCAGAATTTGTCATGTAGAACTCATTTTAGACAAGCTATTAAAAAAAACATCTTTTTGGAGTCAATWGTGATCAGCAGTGTGCATTGGACTATTTATTGTGTAGAAACCAAGATATTCCAAGCCCTGCATTCATGGTAAGAAAAACCAAGCATCATCCAACAGCTGAAAAATTCAGGTRACTGAGATTCCTATCTCCCATTTCACTCTTTGCTGGTGCCTTACTCTGTGGGTTCCACTAAGGAATATAACAAACATGAGGCCATGTGTTGAATKATGGAAAAAAGGGAAAATTTTCCCTTTCAAATTACTGTCCCATCCCAAGCCCTTATTAACTATCAGGAAAAAAAAACCCAAATCAATACCTTACCATAACTCGGTATCCCAGGAACTTGAAAGAGTTTGAAGAGGACTTAAAAAAAAGTATGCATTCCTTTAACTCTTTCTCCCCTTTTCATCTGCTTCATACTTTTCAGTCCATAGTTGTCTTTTTATAGTTTTGTCAAGCAGTAGCAGGATACAATTGATACTTTGGACTATTTCCCTTCTTACAGTAATTCCAGAAGAACTGTCATGACCAGCAAGTTCTCAGTTTGCTGTAGCTTGAGGGAGTCATAAACAAAGAAATCACATCTATATGTTTAGGGAGTGAAAATGTTACTACAACTCTCACATTCTTGCCTTTATGTTTCTCTTCCTCATTAAATTTCTTAAATTTCTTTCGGGCACCAGCCTTAGAACCAAACCAGCACAGAACAGTAAGTGTTTGGAGAGAAAAATCCCTGTTGAACAGTGTAAAATACTAAAAATCCCTGAGCTTCCACAACACTCTTAAAAAACAAGACAAGTCACTACTGCCCTTGAAAGCGTGCRATTTTCTAACATCAATAGGATTATTCAGATACATGAAGTGGGCAAAACTGAAAACCGAACCCCAAGCTTGAAGCTGATGTAAGTTTTTTTCCACAGCTGTACACAAGGCTGTAATTATATTAACACACCTGCACCCATCTAAGAAACAAGAAATACATGTACTAATAGAATAGTCTAGAAAAGAACATGAGAAAAAATATTAAAATAACCAACAACCACAAACACAATTTTCCAATAAACTTTGAAATATGGCACTTTCTACTGTCCTCTTATTTCTAGATGTGGGTATTTTAAACCAATAACAAAGAAGTTCCTAACTGTGCCCAAATACACCTGGCAACTTACAAACATATGGCTAATGTCTCACAGCACTAGTCTTCAGTATTTGTATCTGTAAATCAAAGAGGATGAAATTTTAAAACATCAAGCATGACTCTTCTATGCAATCATCCACAGAATGCAGTGTAACAACATCAGAAAGAATACTGTCCATAGAAACGTATCAATTTTACACCTGCTTTACCAATGAAACATTTTAGGAGCCTGTGTACTATAATATTCCACAGGTACATCATGAAAACTTTATGATCTCTATGAGACATAGTTGGGGGAAAAAAAGTGCTAAAGTATCATCAGACAAGGTAACATGCTTTCAGTCATTTTTTTAGAATCCATTACCTTCATTCTGACAATTTAAGTTTCAGAAACAGCAAGAAGCCAGATTTTATTGATTGACAAACTTGGCAAATAATTTTCCAATATTTCTGACAGCATGCCCAAAGTTTGTCCTGAATGGTTTCCAAATGCATATTCCCCAAATACCTGGAAGATAAACGTAAATCTAAAGCAAAATCATCACAAGACTTTCCTGAACTTCTTATTAGTTCTTCCAAAACAGATCACCAATATAAACACAGACTACAAACAGAGCTATTGTAAATACAAATACTGTAAGTTGCACATCAAGTGGACTTGTCAGTTTCTTTCCTGCGCAGGCAATTCAGCTTCACAGTTGAGCCACATACACTAAAGCATGGATTCTTTCAAGTACCTAGGGCAAAATCCCTTTTTGTTTGTTTTGCATGACTGACGCAGGTTAACAATTATTTCAAACATTGAAAAAGGCCTTTATAATCTGTAATGAGAACTAAGGAAGTCTCAGACTTCTCTTTCACCTATAAGATATTAATGGAACAATATTGATCCTATTCCTATGGAATGACAAACACACAAGTGTTCCCTGACTGTCTACTCTGTTAATGACAGCAAAAACTCAAATTTTACCAATAGATATGAATACTCCTGAACTTTGCAGGACCACAGAACGTATTAAAAAATTGAATTAGTAGTATAATCATTGAGGCAGTATTATAACAAGTACTCTTCACAGCACATTTTGCTTTATCTCAATCACATTATCTTCTATTCTGCTTTGAAAACACACATTTAAGGTCTAAAACTAAACAAAACTTCCTATCCACTATTTCTAGAGTCAGTAAAGCCAGAAGTTTTATACTGCCCACATTAAAAAAAAATAACCACCCGAGAAGGCCAGATGTAATAAATAACATTGTCCGGTATACCTTATCACCTCACTAATATTTACAAGGTAATTAACATGTTGTGAAGTACAGAGGAATTTAAGCATGAATTTTCCCACTACTGGAATTTGCTGCTATAGCAAGTAAGACTGAGCAGTAGGCCTTACACAGCACATGATGCTCGTCATAACTTTCCTACGCAACTTACAGCCAGCAAGGTTCGTCTCAACTACCTTTTCTAATTTCACCTGARAAATATAAACCAAGGCCTTCATTTATAATTCAGTGCTGCTTGTTCCATAAATTTATAATGTCTTTTAAAAGTTTGGGTTTGTTTTGTTTTTTGTTKTTTTTTTTCTTTTTAATAATAAGACCGCACTGTTTTCAATTGCAACATCGTGTTTCATAATATACACAGTGTTTAGGGTTTAATTACTTTTCAGCACCACTTCGGACAAAACATACGTTTTGCAATAGTTATCTTGCGTGCCTGTGATCCAGCTACTAGAAACGGTCATTGAAGCTGACTCCCAGAGCCAGCATCCCTGTCCAGCCGGGGACCTGCCCAGGGGACTCCGGGGCAAGGAGCCTTGGCGCAGGGTATTTCGCTGGCCGAAGCCTTTCCACCGGAGTTTTACAGAGCTCAGCCCCGGGAGGGGCAGCAGACATGCCCGGCTCCGGCTGGCGGGGGCTGAGCGCCTTTGGGCTCGCTGAGGCCTAGCGAGCGCACGAGGCCTCCGGCAGCCCCGGCTCCTTCCCCGGCAGCCCCGCACACCGCTCCGGGCGGGCCGGGGCAGCGGGGACACACGGCAGGGCCCGGCGCCCGGGATGCTCCGCCAGCCGGCAGGGAGAGAGGGTGTCCCGCTCCGCAGCGCCCGGTGGAGAGGGAGGGTGAGGAGCCAGCGCCTCCGGTTTGGGAGGGACTCGCAAACTTTGGTACCATTTGGAAACTCCCTAAATACCCGCGACACCCGGCCGCTCCGGGAGGAACTCTACAGGCTTCTCCCTCCCTCTCCGCCCCAACACCAACTCATGCCATGGGCTTAGGAACAAGGCTGTGCCCGTGCCACTGGGAAGGAGGGTACAGTGTGCCCGGCTGCAAGCAAGGGTTTCTCCTTCCCCCCGGTTCCCGACCCCAGAGGGAACCCTCCGGTGCGCCCCCCGCCCGTCCCTCAGCGCCGGGGCTGCTCCCGCGGCGCCGCTCCGAGCCCTCCCCCGCCCGGGCCTCGCCGCTTCCCTGCCCGCGCACCACCTGTCCCGGGGGTCGATCCAGCTAGTCTGCTTGGTGTTGTGGTCGATGTAGAAGACTTTGCCGTCGTAATCCCTCGCCTCCTCCCAGCCATCGGGTAAGGGAAGCTGCCCATTCCCCGCTTTCCTAGGCATGGTCGGGCGGAGGGGGTAGGTGCTCCATAGGGACAGAAAAAAAGACGGAAAGCGGGAAAAGTTCCGACCCGGGCCGGGGAAGGGGTCGGGGCGGGGACTCGCGGGATCCCAGGGAAGCCCTCTGTCGCAGCCGGGTTTCAGTCCACCATGCCCGGGCTGCCACCTCACCCGCGCCGCGGCGGTGGGTCAGGGCTGCCAGCGGAGCCCAGCTGCCGTCTGGGCGCGGGGAACCCGGCTGAGCCCCGGGCGGCCGCGGCCGCCGCTCATTAGCATGAGATTAGCATCCATCTCATCTGCATGCACATTCCTCCCGCCGCATTCCTCAGGGTTAACCCTGGCCGCGCTGCCCGCCGGGCCGGGCAGGCCCCGGCTGCGGATCCGGCACGGGAAGCGTCCGGCGGGGCAGCGCGGAGGGCAGGAAGGCGGGTGGGAGCGGGGATAAGGCTGCGAGAGGGGCCCGCCTGCTTCCATCGAGCTTTGCTCGGGGGCTCGGCCGGCGTAGGGGCAGGAGATAACCTCCTGCGAAGGACGGCCGCTCCCGGGCGCTGCGGCCGCGGCCCCGCAACCTTGGCGGGGCAGCTGGCGGGGCCGGGAGCCCGGCGGTCATCGCCACCCGCGGGGGACAGCAGCGCCCCGGCATGACGGACACCGGCGAGTCCCATTCTTTGTCTGCGAACTTGCCGCGGCCCTGCATGCCCTGCATCGGGTGGCGCTGGAGACTGTCGCGGGGCACGTCCTGGCCCTKGGAGCGCGGGGAACGAGCCCCGGGAAAAGGCAGCTTTGCCATTACTTCTATGCCGTGAGTCGGGGTGGTGTCGAGCTGCCTCTCCGAGCTGTTCAGGTCCCACTAAACTCACTTCACATCCTTGTGAACTTCCGCTAAACTCCAGTTAAGGCTCCRGGATTCCTAAAAAGGACCTTGATATTTAAAATACTTGAGTTCAAAATTTAAATACAAAGGAGAACCCTTCTTCATCCATGGAAATACTTGAACTTAATGTCTTTGGTTTTGTTTTTGTATGTTTATTGGTTTKGGGGTTTTTTAACCAGTGAAGAATACATGTATGCCCTGGACCATTGAGGCCTGAAAAGCAAGCAGCTACATCGCWTTAAGTATAGAAACCAGGTGTGAGTTACTGAGTGTTTATCTCTCATTTGCCATAGGAGAAGAGTACCCTAGACTGGTTACCATGGTTCAGCTGATAGAAGGTAACTTAATGAGCTCTATTAATTTGCATGTGTATCTGATTCCCAAGATCTGGCATCAGAAGCAGAGCATCTATGGGGGAATATGACTCTTAAGTTTAGCAGCTAGGACTCCTAGGTAACTCAAGTCCCTGTTTCCTGGAATGTTTTATTTCTTTTCATTTAAAGTTACTGGCTGTAAGTAACAAGATTTTCCTGGGAGAGGAAGTCTTGAACCCAGATCTGTCCCTTTTTTTTTTTTTTAAGTCTGTTTGTCTTCTCCATTATAGCTTTTTAGTATTCAGCTGTATGCATTATTCTTCTGAGGCAATTTACACTTATTAAGTGCTGGACTTGTTCAGTGCATAACAAGTTTTTGGATTCCACTTCAGAGGCCACATATCTGACAAGTATTGAAGTAACTTAATTTACAGCTATCTAAGTCCTACTGTTGGATCTGCTCCTAAACAGGAAAATGTACCAGCAAGATACTGTTTTAATTTAGCTAATTGTCAATCTGGTATAGATAAGATCTGCATTATTTTAGTCATTCTGCTTATTTTATTCTGTAATCTTGTCTCCAAATGACCCATATGTCTCCCTCCTCCAGGCTCTCTTGAAGATTCTGACATCTGTTGTATTAAGGTAAYGTGCAGTGAAATTACAAACATGAAGTAAGGTCCTGGTGGTTAACAGTGGAGAAAAACTGAGGTGTCCTAACTTCTGGATATCCATAACAGTTGAGTCACTTAGGGAATACAACAGGATCATTGCCTGTTGAAGAGACAGATGCATTTATTTTCATTGAGAACATTAAAGCTCAATGAGCTGTTTGGTTTATAAGGGCCAGTTTTGTTGTCCATCAGTAAAAAAAATTCCCCACTTTTACTAAGCATTTAATTTGTGTCCTTTTAAACAATCTACCCACTTTTATAATTTGTTTATAGGTGCCATCCTACATTGACAAACTACATGTGGCAGTGGGAGGCAGGATAAATTGAATTTCCTTATCCCTTATAAAGTTCAGTTTGCATTATCAATAAGACATTTTGTTATGTAAGCTGATAAAAAGCTATAGAGGATATACTTTTCTTTCTGAAACCAGCTGCCAGTTACTTATCTTTGGCATTAACCAGGAGCTTTTATAACAATACAGCCTTTTCCATCCCGAAAAAGCAGACCTGTTACAGARCAGCACTCCTGCACTCCTAGTCTCTAAATAATCCACATAAAGAAGCATAAGATTAGAAAATCTGTATTACAAAGACAAAACTGAAAGATCATTTGTGTCAATACTTCCTGTGAAAGTAGTCATGGCACCTGAGGTAACACTCAATTCCTGCCACCAAGGCAGCCAGACACACATCTTTGATTATTGGTCAGATGAGACCACATGGATGTGGACCTGATTTATAACCATCTTTACCAATGTAAAAGAATGCCCATCAGAAGACATCAATATTTTAATTTGCRCAAATAAATGGAAATTGCAGTTCTTAAATTTTAGAAATAAATACACTAAAATGATGGCTTAATTGTCTAATTTATATATAATTAATATATGGTTGATATAGTGTATATGGTTAATATAGTGTATATATACAGATGTGCTTACACTGAAGTATTAACTGCTGTATGGTGTTAGGCTCTCCCTTTCCTCCCTGTTTCCCATTGTTTGAGTACTTCATTGTGTTTGCATCCATAATTAGAGTCTGCTTAGAGTCCAGAATGCCAGTTTAGGACTACTTAGGCATGACAGTATTGAAGTTCTATGGAGAAAAAGTGGGTGTTACTTTGTAAATAGACCTTTAATACTGCCRGTGAGAACCGCTATTGTACAAAAGAGGATCCAGTTATCTTTTTCAGGTTTTGTACTTTTTGCAGTTTGGACTAGTGGGAAATAATTTCTTCCACTACTCTTTAGTATTTTTTTYGTATGTCTAATATAGGAAGGCTGAACAGATGTGCATGATTCTTTTTAGCCTAAAATACACTATAAATTCTAACTAAAGGTAGTTTTTCAAGTATACCTCCTGCATCTCAACTTGCCTAGCATGTTGTGCTGACATTGTCAGCTGACAGCATACCACAGATTGTTCGGCTCAATTGCATAAGACAGCATAGTTCAGAAGATATAAGCATTCTTTATCCAAAACACAGAAGGGTGCATGTGAAGGAGATATCCAAAAGCATGGAACAATGTGGCTATGGCATGACTTAAGTACCTGTCCATAAGTATGATAAATAACAAGATGTAATCAATGAAAAGAAACTAACCATTCCTATTTTTTGCTTCACATATGTTTAAATGGCCTGAAGAAATTCCTATGGTAAATTGTACATATCTAAAGTATTGAGCTGAAGGGAATTAGAATCATAACTGTTTTGTGTCAGCTAGAATAAAAAATGTCTCTATGAAAATTCAGAGCACAAGTGTGGAAATGACTGTCCAGAAAGGAGGTCTTCAAAGGCATATACTGGTATCCTGTCACATAACAAGAATATATCCACTCCAGTCTTTAGTAATGTAGTTAATCTCCTGATGCTCTCTGCTTGCTTCTTTCATAATGAGTCTGTTCCTGGGACTGACTGTGATCAAAGAAAGTGTGTTTGTCCTTTGTCCTTCCCTTAATTTGATGATCCACCAGTGTCATCCCTGGTGAAATTTACAGCTGTTACAGCCCTAAATTGTGCTGTCCACAAATGGCTTTGAAAGCAGGAGCTGCAGCACTCTTCCTGAAAATCTCCATAGTTCAGCTTTCACTGATTTCACACAGAATTTGAGTACAGAATGAATTATGAAGGATGGTAATGGAATAAATTTCTAGAAGCATCTGACAAAAATGTTTGAAAATATATATTGCTTATGTTGGGGCTTTCTTTAAACACTTAAACCACCACTTTGTGGTGGTTTAGTACTCATGTACTATGAGTCTTACTTCCATCACAGGTAGCTACTGTAGAACTCTAAAAACTGATTAGTATCTTCAGCATTATAAATATTTGTTTATTAAACAACAGTGAGTTTTATCTGGCAGCTATGTTTTCAAAGAAAAATGTTTCMCTTATGCCATGAGATTATAAATTTTAAAAAGTGTTTAAAAAGTGCTGTAAAGAAAAATTGTACGAGCATGAGGGAGAAAAGGAGGAGTAGTGCTGCTTTTAGTGTTGTCAGCTTCTGTTGCATGTATGCATCTGAGAGTAAAAGATCTTTGAATAATGTTGTTTCTGGTTGAATTTATGATGAGGCTCTGCAAAATCAATGGAGCCAGATAATGTTTACGCTCATCCAGCTTTTCTTCCAGCAGGCTCATTCCAAAGCCTGCTCTCTCCACTTACATTCCATTGGACAGCTTGCTGCTTAGACACTTCTACAAAGATTTCCCAGAGTATCAGCGAAAAAAGGCTACACCAGGTTATGCTTTAAATGAATATTTACTAGTTTTTTTGGTTTTTTTTGCTTTCAGGCATGCATAGGAGAAAGTACTGAGCAATTGCATATTCTGAGTCAAGACATAAATCTGAAAGTAAGCGCTGAGAGTGATTTTAAGTTATTGTTAGCCTGATTAAAAGTTTAGAGTAGAAAATGAAAAATTTGRAATTAAAATGATGTGATACGAGCTTTGCCTGAAAGTTAGCTGTGGAAATGTGAGCGATGTTTTCATGGTAGAATCTTCTCAAACTCACCCCAAGCCAGTCATTAAACTGACTTAACATTCAATTCTATTAAGTCTGATTCATACTGCTGAAATTTCTGTGGACAAATTAAAAAGAAGAAAGAGAATTTTGGTTGTTCCAAAGCCCCTAGGATTGATGAGGTCCAAATTAGAGTCTGACRCATATTCCCAAAAAATTCTTGATGCTGTCCTGATATTACRACTTCCATAGTAACAAYCTCACTGAATTTTTTGTGTATTTCTGACATTTGAACACACATTTAGGTTTCCTACGTTTCATCATATCTGTGGAATTGCACTGTCTATTCGCTGCTGCCTAATGTCTTTGGAAAACCACAAAGCATGTGTGGTTAGCCAAGGACGTTCCTAAGAGCCTGATCTTCTCTTTTGGCTGCATGTAAGGAAGAAGCTGGCCAGCAATAGAGGGTTACTGCTCATTGGCATGAAGGGAAGACTGGAGGAATTTCTCAATAACAGCTCCTTTGGTAGTGAACAGCAGTTAATTTATTCAAGTATTTAAGATGCCTTATCAACTAGTATTCAAGTTCACAGGTTTAGAGAGSTAATGCTTACAACAGTCCCTCTCTACTGCTGCAACAAGTAAGTCCTCCCGCTACAKCCAAAAGAAAAAATGATTCTCTGACTGATGGAAAGGCTTAGGGAACCTTTCTTCTAACAAATGAAAGATGATATTTTAAATGCAAAGAAGTATGGACTTGCCAAATTCTAATATGAAAAAGTGCTTCTTTTTTCTTTTATTCACTTTTCATCCCTTCTTTGCCCTCAGAAAATATAGTTTCTTTGTATGAATCTAAATTATTTTGATGTCTGATCCAGCCAAAAACAGAGAACCTCAATGCTATCTTATTGCTAAGTGAGGCTAAAAACCATACTGCAAAAATAAAATCAATTCTGTGCAAGTTTGTAACAAAAATTGGACTGATTCATCAATACCAAGATTTAGGACTTCTAGACTGCTAGAGATGTTGCTGAGTTGTATGAACCATTTCATGGCAGTTTTCATTCTAGTCTGATTATCTAAAACCCAGAATCCCAATGTTTGCAAGGATTGAAACAATTTGAAGAACACAGCATGATACTATTATGTTCACTTTGCAGTGGACATCAAAAAAAGAATCATGTTAGGTGACTCATGATGGAGTGAAAAATACCTGTATGAAGTAGGATAGGTGTTAGAATGTTGGGTCCTTCCAGCTCCTGAATTAATCCATTGAACTGATTTATGTAATTTTTATTATTTCAATACATGGTCTCAGAAATGCTTGGGATAASCGTTTTTATCACACAGAAAACATTATAATTCATACAAAAATTCCTTTTTTTTTGGTATTGCATTCCCAGGTAAAATATGCATAAAAATATTCAATTCCATATGGTCAAGCAAGTGTTATGAAATTCTTGTGTCCACATATGAGACACATGACAATATTTCAGCAGTTCTCTCCTTTGAATTTCTTTGTGGTAAAACGTAAGAAAAGCATAAATTTGAGTTAGCTGTACTTCTGTGTTCATAAATGAAACACACTAATAAAGAAACAGCCTCCAACAGCATAAAAAGATAACATTGAACAAGAATTTTAAAAAAATTTTGAATCTTATCGAAGTGCAAAATTTAAGTGTTCAATAATGTGTAATCCTAGAAGTATGAAATGTGAGAGCTGTTGCTGATAATCAGCTGTTCCGTAAAGGTGAAAAGGATATATAGTTATTGCTTATACCAAAAGAATCAGAGAATTTTGGGATGAGGGAGGTTGGAAGAGTGTCATCTGGAGATCTTGTTCAACTGATTACACAAGGCCACCTAGACATGATTAACTGGGATTATGGCCAGGCATATTTTTAGTATTGCCAAGGATAGAGATTCCTCAGCCTCTCAGGGCAACCTGCTCCACTGCTTGGCCACCCTCCCAGGAAGAAGGTGTTTCATGATGTTCAGAGGGA